ACAGATCTAAATTTACAGAATACAGAATCATAGGAGAGTCACTATGTCTTTATACTGTTAAAAGCAAATAAAAGATAAATCTTTTCTGAATCACTGCCCAAAGCCTAAAATCTGTAGGAGTAAGTAAAGGAAAAGAGGAAAGGCAATTATAAAAAGAAAAACTGTTTTGTGAAGGTGTTTTGTGGTAAAAGTATATGCAGTCACCCTGGCATACAAAGATATTATTTGAAAGCAATCTAACAACCACATGGATGTGTGCAAATGAATAAATGTTGCCAAGACAAATTACAAAGAAAAACATTCTGAATGTGAGTTTTCTTTGTCATATTTTGGCTCAAAATCTTTTCATATTTTTCAGACAATTCTTTGGAAATTCTGAGTAGCAAATATTTTTTCTCTATCACTTTTCATCTTTATAACTGCAGCCGTATGTCTCCAGTTCAGCTCACTTAGACAACTTCTTATTGAGTACCTACTCTGTGTCAGTCCATGCTAAGGACTGATGACATAAAAAATGAATAAGATACAGTTGCTTCACTGAGGAGATTACAGACCACTGAGGTAGGAAAGTATATAAACATATCTTTACACAGCTTCAATCCCCAAGAAATACACTTTAAAAGATTTAAAAGAGATTCTTCTGATCATTTTGTTTACACAGTGTTCGTGGTAACAAGAAGAAAGCTTTCTCCTTCATTGGGTTAATTTCCCTAAGATTTTCCTTGGGTTAAGGGTGGGGAATGGAATCAGAGATGGAGAAATAGAAACCAAAAATAAGTGAGATACAATCGATAAGAAAATGTTTCCTGAGAAATTACCAAAGATTACGCATTTTAACACATACAATGCATTGCCCACAAACTAAAGTTGCTCAGAGAAGATATTTAACCTCTTCAACATTTCTGGCAACTATTACTTTGGTTCTAGAAATATATTAAGTATGTTTAAGTCATCATGTTTTTTGACAGTGATTGCATAAATGCTGTGATTTCTCCTTAAATTAGATAATGGCTATTAAACAGCCAAGAAGGATAATCCTAAACATACGCTTGCTTACTGTCTAGAAAATTATATATTTTCAGGTTTGCAGCATCTGCTGGCCCAAAGGAAGGAATCAATGACCTTCCCTACAATACCAGCAGTGCCCAGGCCAACACGCAGGTGAGCTCAGCCAGCACCAAGGGGTGCTCAGATGGGCACCCAATTGGAGTCCACACTGGTAGTTACAAAAAACACCAGAACCATGTGATACCATTGCCAGCATGGCAGGCTTCAAAAGACAGGCAACTAAGGTGAAAAGCAAAAACTAAGGTGAAAAGCAAAAGGAAAATAGAAATAAATATTGTCACAGGGTTATCCGCAAAAATGTATAAATGTTCAATTTTCAGAGACTTTCATGGACAGACCACAAAAAGTACTGGAACGGTCCCTCCAGATAACATACAACCAAATAAAAATAATAATAATGAAATAAAATACAGTGTTGGAGTCTCCTGAAAACTGTAAATAATAATTAATCCAAGAATACATCATAATTTATTTTTCCAATTTTTAAGCATAACTCACCACAATGGAAACATCAGCTACCTTGAAAACCTAGGTTTCTCACAATACTTAAGAAGGAAAAAGTAAATGGGTCTGAAAACCAGAGACTGAGAAAGTTGAGTCCAATTGATATGCAACTTCAGAGAACTAACAGATTGAAATGCTCTTAATTATCTGAAGAAAGATACAATAAAATGAAAATCTCCAAAATGCATTACACAGAGCTACTGGTACTCAAAAATTATGATATACCTTTATTAGCTGCAAAAATGTGATCTAAGTGTTGTATTCAAAAGAAGAAAAGAAAAGAAAGGTTTCAACTGCCTCAGCACCTGTGAACCTCAGACACCCTTCACTTGACCCTGTTCTTGCAACATCCTTGTAGAATTCTCTTTCTAAATGTGTCTGGCCTGTCTTCCCCAGTAGGCTGTTACACATTAGGGAGGCATGTGCCCAGCTGTTTCTTTCTCCCAAGATACTAACAGAGTGCTCAAAACAATAAATGACTATTAAACAAAATTGACACTGTTCATTTCAAAAGTTAGACATAACACATTGTAGCCAATAGCACACATAGTATGAGGGTCCTTTTGATCTGAATATTATATTCAGCATTGGGAAAAAAAATATGTGCCCTTGTTATATAAAGTAACTTACGTCATACTTATTCTGATCATGCAGAATAAACTACAAAGGCAAGAAAATTTGACACAAACTTTCTGAAGACTTTCAGCGTCGCATAAAGAACATAAAGCCATTCTAAAGATCAGGTTTCTAGTGTAATCAAATTTGTCTCTCATAACCGGATATTCCAGCTAATTTGCTAATTTTAGTCTGGAAACTCAAGAAAAAGAAAATGAGAAATATTCATCTCATGTCAAACCTTTGGTCATAGCTCAGGAATTACACTCAAGTGAGGGTCATCTGAATATCATCTAAGGTCCTCAAGAGATGGTATAAATGTCATTCCTAGAACCCAACTTAATTAGGTTAACTTGCTTTTCATATAATCATAAAAAGGAAGGTAATTTAAAATAGAAGAGTCCAGACAACAACAATAAAAGCAAAGGCCACAATAGGCGAGAAAGCCATAATTAATAAATCATTAAATGAGATTACGAGATTTTAATACCAAAAACAGGTTTACTTCTATACATTCTAATATAGGCCCCTTTAAATATAATGTGATAAATTATGTAATAACACATTTTATCTCTAATAATTTTTTCATTTTAGAGATATAATTAGCCAATAATATATCTGGTTATCTGTAATAGCAACATTGTTATATTATTATAATTTGTCAAAGGAGGAAAGCAGCTAGGTACAGCGGCTCAGACCTATAATCCCAGCACTTTGGGAGGCCAAGCCAGAAGGATGGCTTGAACCCAGAGGTTTGAGACCAGCCTGGGCAACATAGCAAGACCCTGTCTCTATAAAAAAAAAAAATTAGCTGGGCATGGTGGCACGTGCCTATAGTCCCAGCTATTCAGGAGGCTGACGTGGGAGGCTCACTTGAGCCTAAGAGGTCAAGACTGCAGTGAACTATGATTGCACTACTGCACTCCAACCTGGGCAACAAAATGAGCCCCTGTCTCCCCCAAAAAGAGGAGGAAAGTCTTCCAAACATTTCCCAAACTCAAATGAAAATAAAGAAAAAATATAATTCAAGCATTAATATTTTTCTACACACAGAAAATAAGCCTATATGCAGTTTTTAGAAGTACAAATTCACTGGGAAGACCATAAAGTAATTGATAAAGGGGAATGTGAAGTAGCAAATTTTGTGTTACTTCCAATACTTCCTTTACCACTTCAGAAAAATTATCATCTAAGATTATCTGATTTCAATATTTTAAAGTGTATTTCATAGTCAGGGACTTCATTTAGTTTTTTTGTAAACAAAAGAAAGTTAAATACCCACCAAATGTTGGGAAATCATAGTTGTAAGATCAACAGTAATTTGTACCTATAGATATACTTTCCCTTCAGGATACAGAAGCACACGCTAAAATTGTATCCTCACACAGGCTTACAGATCTTTAAATTTTTTCTAATTCTGAATTAATAAATGTAGAAATATTCTGTGCAGGAGGCCCATGTGTCTAGACATACTAAATCAGATGAAATATTTCCAGGAGACTTCAGACTAGTGTCAGTAAAACAAATCGTCACTTCTCATTTATTCAAGGGACCACAGTGTTTGGAATACAGCCAACGCCTTATTTCTTCTTATAGTCCTTTCAGTTGCCAGTATCTTATCTAACTTATGAGCAGGCATCACTTCAGAAATGATGACAAAATTAAAATTATTCAGTTGAGACAAGTGGTACTGTTCTCAATATATAATACAGCATTTGATTTTCCATTATTACATGAGATTAGTAGTACCATTATGCTTGTTTTACAGAAGAAGGGCACATGGATGTCAAGAGAATTCCACAAGACCACAGTCATAGTGGCAAAGTAATATCATCATCCAAGCTGATTCCAGAGCCTAAATACTTAGCCACTGCATGATTTGTCTTCAGTAGATAATTATGGTAGAGGAAATGAAACCCAAACCAATCACTAGGGTCAGAAACCTCTCCTTCTAAAATAATATTGACAATAATAATAAAGAATGTGAATTTCATGAGTGCAATGATTCCCACTACTGATATTAATGAGATTCATAGATTATTGACAGATTTCAACCCATATATTCAGCCCCAGGCCCTCAGTTATAATTCAGAGTTAACAGTTTGATCTTTCTTGCTTATCTTCTTATACATTTGTCAAGTCTATTATGTATTTATAAAGCATTGTACTCAAACTAAACAGTTTTGAACTCCACTGTATTGTACTATTTTATTCTTTATCAATGACCTGTTTTCAAATTACTGAAGTTGAACAAAATTTTCAAAATTATAGAAGGCTTCTTCCTAGCTAAGAACTTATAAAATTCTGACATTATAAGCTGATAATTCTTAACAGTTTGGGAGGCCATGAGCCTTTTGGAAATCTGAAGAAAACTGGATTGTAACCTCAAAATAAAATGGATATATGAATATATAATTTAAATGTGGCTATAATTTCATGAGGTTATTGAATGCTCACACCTCAAAGACCAACAACAAACTTCAGTTAAAGTACCCTAGTATTTTGGTCTTGTTTTCCATATTTAATGATTCTCTTATATTGCAATACTCCTTGAAATATCACACTTTCTCTAATTAGTTATAATCATGATCTTATTTGCAAAATTTCACAGAAATAAGGTCTTATTTACAAAGATTAAATTAGTATACAAACTTACAGGAAAATCACTACTTTGCTTACAGAAAGAACTATAGAGAGGCAAAGAATTATTCTCCTTTGAGTTCTATGAGTTCTTTGAGTTCTAATTATCCAAATGAGTTCTATGACATAGTCAATGAGCAATTTCCCACCAAAAAAAGGCTATCAGATTTTATTTGCGCCCGCCCCCCCGGCCCGGAAGTGCTTTCTTGGGAAGATGGCGGCTGTGTCGGTGTATGCTCCACCGGTTGGAGGCTTCTCTTTTGATAACTGCCGCAGGAATGCCGTCTTGGAAGCCGATTTTGCAAAGAAGGGGCACAAGCTTCCAAAGGCCCGAAAAACTGGCACGACTATTGCCGGGGTGGTGTATAAGGATGGCATAGTTCTTGGAGCAGATACAAGAGCAACAGAAGGGATGGTTGTTGCTGACAAGAACTGTTCGAAAATACACTTCATATCTCCTAATATTTAGTAAGTATTAGTTCGTTTGAATCGTTCTGATTTTTTCAAACATGTCAGGGCTAAAAATTGACCTCGTTGCATGCTCTTCACTAAAATCTGTTTTTCATTCTGTATTTTCTATCTCCCTTAAATGGCATTTCCATCCACCTGTGACCTAAGCTAGTCATCTTCAAGTCCTCTCTTTGCTTCAGTCTCCAATTGAATTGGTAGCCAGTTTTGCCTTTTCTGTGCCCCTTGAATCCATTCCCTCCTATCCTTTCCTTTGATAAGGCTCTAGTTTGAGTTCCTTTATCTTTTTCTTTTTTTCAAATGTTAACTTGAACCAGAGAGGTTCTTTTTTCTTAGTTGGACTATGGCAGTTATTTAACTGGCTTGTCTTTTCCATCCTATTGTTGACTCTTCTGCCATATTGGATCTTGTAAAACATAGATCTGATTACATTCCTTTCTTAAAAAGCTTCTCATGAGACTTGTCACATTTCCACACTACTTTTAGGATAAAAATCAAAATTCTGTGGCCTTGCACAGTCTCAAGAAAGCTTACCCTTCAGGCCTCTTTTTCAGCTGCCACCACCTTGTGCTCCTGTTATAACTGAACTGTTCCTACTTTCCTCATGTCCCCATTCTCTTTTCCCTCATCTCCAAGCTGTTCTGCCTTTGCTTATGTGAGTTTCTATTTAGAAACTCTTCCTTCCCTGTTTGTAGAGTGTTTTTATTCTAGCTCACATGTAACCTTTTCTTTTGCAACATTTCTTCTTTTTTTTTGGAGAGATGTGGTCTCACTATGGTTGCCCAGGCTGTTCTTGGCCTTAAGTGATCCTCCCACCTGGGTCTCACAAAGTGCTGGGATTACAAGCATAAGCCGCCCTGCCCAGCCTGAAACCTTTTATTTATGATCAGAATAAATTACTTTCTCCTCCGGTTTCCCGTAGCATTTTGTACCTGTGTGACTACAATGTATTAAATGATGTATTATAATTTTTGATTCTTGTGTGTCTTCTACTCAACTTTGAAATCAAGCGCAAGGACTGTCATATTTTCTTTATTCCCAGTGCTTAGTGTAATTATTGGTATCTGGTAGTAAATACTTGGTAGTGTTGAATTGCAAGACTTTTAATGCACCTTGCTCTTTTGTACAACTTGGATGTATTTGTAGGATTAATGAAATGCACCCTCTGTTAGGAGCACAGAACCAGTAATTTCATATGTTCCATTGGGCCATAGATAATATATTTGCCTATAACTAGATGCATATTCTCAATTTTCTATTTAAAATGGATTAAACAGAGAAGTTATAGCATAGATATATTCAGAAACATCTCTCTCTGTACCTGGACTTCATGGAAGTTATCCAAGAACCTCTACTTCTAATTGAGCCCTCTGATAATTGGATTTCAGTGACGTTTGTAATTGGATTTTTCAGTTGTTGTGGTGCTGGGACAGCTGCAGACACAGACATGACAACCCAGCTCATTTCTTCTAACTTGGAGCTCCACTCCCTCTCCACTGGTCGTCTTCCCAGAGTTGTGACAGCTAATCGGATGCTGAAGCAGATGCTTTTCAGGTANCTTTGGGAGGCCAAGCCAGAAGGATGGCTTGAACCCAGAGGTTTGAGACCAGCCTGGGCAACATAGCAAGACCCTGTCTCTATAAAAAAAAAAAATTAGCTGGGCATGGTGGCACGTGCCTATAGTCCCAGCTATTCAGGAGGCTGACGTGGGAGGCTCACTTGAGCCTAAGAGGTCAAGACTGCAGTGAACTATGATTGCACTACTGCACTCCAACCTGGGCAACAAAATGAGCCCCTGTCTCCCCCAAAAAGAGGAGGAAAGTCTTCCAAACATTTCCCAAACTCAAATGAAAATAAAGAAAAAATATAATTCAAGCATTAATATTTTTCTACACACAGAAAATAAGCCTATATGCAGTTTTTAGAAGTACAAATTCACTGGGAAGACCATAAAGTAATTGATAAAGGGGAATGTGAAGTAGCAAATTTTGTGTTACTTCCAATACTTCCTTTACCACTTCAGAAAAATTATCATCTAAGATTATCTGATTTCAATATTTTAAAGTGTATTTCATAGTCAGGGACTTCATTTAGTTTTTTTGTAAACAAAAGAAAGTTAAATACCCACCAAATGTTGGGAAATCATAGTTGTAAGATCAACAGTAATTTGTACCTATAGATATACTTTCCCTTCAGGATACAGAAGCACACGCTAAAATTGTATCCTCACACAGGCTTACAGATCTTTAAATTTTTTCTAATTCTGAATTAATAAATGTAGAAATATTCTGTGCAGGAGGCCCATGTGTCTAGACATACTAAATCAGATGAAATATTTCCAGGAGACTTCAGACTAGTGTCAGTAAAACAAATCGTCACTTCTCATTTATTCAAGGGACCACAGTGTTTGGAATACAGCCAACGCCTTATTTCTTCTTATAGTCCTTTCAGTTGCCAGTATCTTATCTAACTTATGAGCAGGCATCACTTCAGAAATGATGACAAAATTAAAATTATTCAGTTGAGACAAGTGGTACTGTTCTCAATATATAATACAGCATTTGATTTTCCATTATTACATGAGATTAGTAGTACCATTATGCTTGTTTTACAGAAGAAGGGCACATGGATGTCAAGAGAATTCCACAAGACCACAGTCATAGTGGCAAAGTAATATCATCATCCAAGCTGATTCCAGAGCCTAAATACTTAGCCACTGCATGATTTGTCTTCAGTAGATAATTATGGTAGAGGAAATGAAACCCAAACCAATCACTAGGGTCAGAAACCTCTCCTTCTAAAATAATATTGACAATAATAATAAAGAATGTGAATTTCATGAGTGCAATGATTCCCACTACTGATATTAATGAGATTCATAGATTATTGACAGATTTCAACCCATATATTCAGCCCCAGGCCCTCAGTTATAATTCAGAGTTAACAGTTTGATCTTTCTTGCTTATCTTCTTATACATTTGTCAAGTCTATTATGTATTTATAAAGCATTGTACTCAAACTAAACAGTTTTGAACTCCACTGTATTGTACTATTTTATTCTTTATCAATGACCTGTTTTCAAATTACTGAAGTTGAACAAAATTTTCAAAATTATAGAAGGCTTCTTCCTAGCTAAGAACTTATAAAATTCTGACATTATAAGCTGATAATTCTTAACAGTTTGGGAGGCCATGAGCCTTTTGGAAATCTGAAGAAAACTGGATTGTAACCTCAAAATAAAATGGATATATGAATATATAATTTAAATGTGGCTATAATTTCATGAGGTTATTGAATGCTCACACCTCAAAGACCAACAACAAACTTCAGTTAAAGTACCCTAGTATTTTGGTCTTGTTTTCCATATTTAATGATTCTCTTATATTGCAATACTCCTTGAAATATCACACTTTCTCTAATTAGTTATAATCATGATCTTATTTGCAAAATTTCACAGAAATAAGGTCTTATTTACAAAGATTAAATTAGTATACAAACTTACAGGAAAATCACTACTTTGCTTACAGAAAGAACTATAGAGAGGCAAAGAATTATTCTCCTTTGAGTTCTATGAGTTCTTTGAGTTCTAATTATCCAAATGAGTTCTATGACATAGTCAATGAGCAATTTCCCACCAAAAAAAGGCTATCAAAGCACTCATCTTTGAATGTGAGCTAAATTACAAATGCACAATTGAAGTTGCTTTAACCTTATGGGCATACCCCCTCCAGATCTGATAGTAAGAAAGTCCCATGGCTGATGGTAGATAAGATAATCTTGCTCATTACCTTTCCAAATTTAATGTACTCTAGTTAAATAGCCATGTTCACTGGTTTTGACTGCATCATTGTACTTTCTGATAACAGAAAAACATTAGATTTTTTAGAAGTGATGTCCTGCAGCTGACAGGCTCTCATTTTATTTTCATTCAAATTTTGGAGAACTGGATAGCCAGAAACTGATATTTTGCTTTGTGATATACAAGGGACACTAGTGAGTATTAGATATTAAATATTTTTATGTATGCCTCAGTTTCAGCAATGTCATAAATACGCTGGATAAACTTCTCCAGAAAAAAATAAATATATACACAAATTCTGTACACAACAATATTGAGAGGTTTTTCTGAAGCCCAGCTGTGGGTCTCAAACTTCATGATTAAGGAGATATGCCTGCATTCAATAGACAAGTGTGAGCTGACACTTATGATTTGGAAGGACTTTACCTCCCTAAGATGACATGAAAAAATCTAACTTGGCTCTGCCTTTAAAGCTGTTAATCGTATGCAAAGAAACGACATTCATCAGAAATAATCACCACAGCATTCTCTTTGTTATCTGGTGGGTTTCTCAAAGCATAAAGAGATTGGCTGCCCTCAAAGTAAGGTCCTGGCTCTTTTCCATTTCAAAGGTTGAGAAGCTGAGGGATGGGGAGCCTTCTGCATCTGCCACAGTGACTCCAATCTGCATCTCTCTGGAGAGCTAATCAGTAGACATCCTGATGCTGGCAACACAAACAAGCCAAGAACTAGTCTGGCTAATGTAGGTACTGTCTGGTAGGATGGTCACCACCTACCTTGTAAATTCTAACCCACCTCCTTCCTAAAGGTCCTGTGGCACCATCACCCATGACCGTGCCCTCCTCAAGATGTATCCGTTAACTCCAGTGTTCAATTAGCCACCTTATTCCATATTTATTTTGTCTATATTAGCCTCTCTCATTATCTTTCTTGTTCCCTAGTTGTTTTACATAAGTTCATCCTCAATATATGTCATACAGTATAACTATTTATAATACACTGTTAGGCATATAACTGGTCTATATCCACTATTTCTGAGGCTCCAAGGTTAAGCTAGAAAAACTATCATTTTGAATAATTCATTTCTTTATTTAAGTTGTTTTTGAAATATGATTTTTTTTTTCCACTTAAAGTTATCTTTATTGCTCCTAGTTCCACAGTTTTTCTAAATGCTGGATTTACTAGGTACAAAGAGACTATACTAATAGCAAAGACTACACTTGCTAATATGTAATATTCCATTTTAAAAAATAGTATTGCAAAACAATGAACAGGCAAAAGTAAGATAAAAAATAAAATCTGTATGGAAACAAGAAGAAGAAAAAGTTTTCAAGTACTCAACATCCTCGGTTACTTTTCCCATGACCCTGTGATTGGAAACCAGGACATCATTTAAAATGCTGGTCACCTTGGAAAGCAAAGACACCTCTAAAAATAAAAATCAACATTTCCAGACTCTGTCATAATGGTTTCCTGGTAAACAGAAAGACATGCTCGCTATTCTACCCCCACATGGGGGTTATGGCAATTAATTATTTAACATTTGGAAAGTGCTTTGAAGACAAGAAGCTAAGTGCTAAAAATCATCATCAATTTTCAGTAAACCACACTTAAAGTGAACCCACCAGGTTTATTGTTAGAAACTGAACCATTAGTATAAGGCCATGTTTTCTTTTTCCATTTCATTTAGACCATTAGATCAAATAGCCAATACCACATGGAATCTTCCTCTCCTTTTGATAAAACTTTAAGTGGCCTGTGGGTAAAAAAACTACTTGATTTTCAGAGAAAATATAAATTCCAATAATGTGGTTTTTCTGGAATTTACAGGGTTTTGCTTATTAGGTATCTTTTCTCTTCTGCCTTTTATCTAAGTTACATAATAAACAGTGAGTTTACTAAACATTTCATTTGTAAAACTTTGTGAGTGATAAAAATCTAGTTTAATATACTCCTACTAGCTAGTTATCATTTAACCAAACATTTATTTAAGTGTCCCTGACCACATTACATTTATACATTTAGATGAACAATTCAAGGCTTGATTAACCTTTATACTCTAAATTTAAGTAATAAGCCATTCTATTTAAACAACAGTTTAAATCGACAGTTTTTCCTTCTTACAATACATTCTGGTTTGCATTTATTCATTTATAAAACTCAGATCAGTGGCTCAAGATTGAGAAATGCATGTTTTCCACCAAGGTATAACTAAAATCCACATAAAAACCTACCTACATGCATGCTAACAAAAAAGGGGGAATTAAGTGGTTTTTAAATAGGGAGTCATGAGAAGGACCCTCTGCAAAGCCATTACGCAGAAACTGTGGCTGGCTTGGGATTAAGTAAACAAGAGTAGAAATTTCACCTACACCCATTTGGACAACATAATTTTGTCCAAAATATTATTTTTACTTCATTATCTCTTACACAGTGAAAGATCATCTACACAAATGTCATAAATTTCATGTTTTTGAAAATTACAAGATATACTAGCATTATCTTCTTGGATATGGAGTTGTTTCCCATTAAATCAAGCTCAACAATGTTTCTCTAAAAAGAAAGTTTATATATTTTAATCGCCCAAAATACACAGTTTTAAAAGTTGTCTTTCTAAAAGGAGAAAGGACTTGTTATGCAACACATTTTTACCACTCATCATATATAAACAATATATTTTTGCACATCTATTAGTCTACCTCAATCTTTTATCCATATTCACTCTTCCCAAACACCTATTCCCCACCCCCCACCC